TTGATGGGAGCATGACTTATTGATTTCACAGAGAACAGGTTGAAATCCGGCTGCGAATCAGTTTGAGCATTTTCACAGGTAGAGTGGTTTATTGGTTGGGTTAGGTAGTCTTGGTGAGAGTTAACATAGTGCTGCCTTTGGTTGCGGTACTGTCTTGACTGGCTAGATTTAGCAACAGACGAAGACTTTGCAAAGCAGGCCTTGGCAATGTGACCTTGCTTACTGCACTTATAACAAGTTGCAGACTTGAACTTGCACCGATGAGATGCATGGGGACCTTTGCATCGATGACATTTTTGATAATTATTACTAGATTTAGATCTAGGATTTGAACGAGCAGGCTGTTTAGCATAAGTTGGAATGCTCTGATGGGGTTGATGTTTATTGACTAACCTGCTGTTTACTGCATGGATCCCTGAAGGCGTAAGAGATTTCGCCGCATCTGATGACTGCTGGAATGACATTGCAAGTTGTATTGCTTTTTCCAATTTTAGATCTGACTCGAGCAGCAACTTTCCTTGAATATCAGGGCTGTTTACACCTGTCACAAACTTTTCACATAATCTGTCAGACAGCGTGTCTCCGAATTCACAAAATTCACTTAAATGACGTAAAGCAGCAACATATTCTGATATTGACTCGTTTGGTTGACGAGTCCTACTGTCAAATCTAGCTCTACATAAAAACTTTGATGGGGTAGGCGCATGGTGGTCTGTTAGCAATTTGCTCAGCTCGTTAAAGCTCTTGGTAGTTAGACTAGCTGGTGCGGATAAGTCTTTTAGTAGCCTAAATTGTTGAGGCCCTATGACTGTTAACAAAACAGCTCTCTTTTTGGCTTCTATCGTCACGTTGTTTGCTTCTAGGTAAAAGCTTAACCTCTCTAGGTAATCTTGAATGATTTCATCATTCGCATCAAATTCTTTTATTTGGCCATACAGCGCCATAATTCTAGAAATAATTAGCTAATAAGCTCTAGCAAACCTCTTTTTTGCGTAAGTAGGTGCTCTTTCTAGTAGATGTTTATCCTTCGTCGCCAGTTGTAATAGATTGACGACAGAAGCCTGTGGTTGTATATAACACGTTTAATTGGGTCTAACTACCACGATGGTAATACACAGAGAGGACGGAAGGAAGTGCCCCAGGGACATCACTCAAGATAACAATATTATAAATATAACTAATACAGAAGAGTGAGTTCCCTTGACCTCACAATTATTTCAATCTATTACAGAATATAAGATTGGTAATGCATTGATGAAACTTAAAATATTGCATCAGACTTTCTTCTGATCAATGCACGTGATGGACAGTGCTTGACGAATCGTTGTCGAGCAGAGGCGTTGCAACACTTCCCCCGTGGACAAACTTTCAATTTGCCCCCCCCCCCCCCCGAGAAACTTTCAATTTGGCCCCCTCCCCTCCCTCGCAATATTTTTTTTATATTCATAATGCAAAACTGCAGCTAAAATGAGCTTTTAATTTTTCTTCCAACTCATTTTGGCGCCCCCTAGGTTCGGGCCCGGGGACATATGTAACTCTTGTCCAGTGAAGCTAGAAAAATTATTTCACTTCTGTATGGAGGTATCTTTAAAAAATTTAACACTTACTAGACTCTGGTTAGCATTATGGTGTAGAAATGAAAGAAATAGTTTATTTAATTCTTATCATATTCATGTTTATTTAATATAATAAGATTTGGCATCTGCATTTTACTGACCAATCCTATTTTTTTAAAAGAAAGTGTTGTTTTTTCAGAGAATTTAAATGCTATTATTTTTAGCTCACTTTTCAAACTGGACAATTGCGATTATTAACTCGTCATTTCTGGATGGATGGATGTGCGCAGCTTTAAGTCGTATCTCCTCCTCAACGAAGCAATATCGAAGACTAGTTCCAAAGCAAATATGTTAAGCAAGTTCCGAGGATGATTGTGGGCCAAAAAAAATTCCTTCCTAGATTTCCCGGAAAAGCCAAAAAGCCTCGAAAAAATGCAGTTTTTTGCCCATATCTCGGCAACCAGACCACTTAGCGACTTGAAACATTTACCAATCGATTCCTGCCATAATTTAGAACAATATTGCTGAAGAAAGTTTTCAAAAATATCCTTTCGTTCGGTCACAAACATTTTTTAAAATTACATAAACACCTGCAAACCGATCGTTCTCCTAGCTTGAACGCACCCCAGCATTATACGTCTATCTATTTTTAGATAACATAAGGAAATTGCGCTTAAATTGTCACTAGACTTTTTATTAACTTGTTTTATTGCAAAAAAACGTTTTAATAACAAGCTTTTATGTAATAATGCACTAAAAAGACGTAGGGCCTATTTATACTTGTTTTATATTTTATCTTCTGTAGGTCTGTATTATTCTTTTTCCAGTGTTAAGTAGCCGCAATCAGTGAGTAAGGGGTATAACTCGGAATGATTTATTCCATTAAATTTTAAGAGTTCTCTTTCTTAACGAAATTTTGCTTGATAAGTCGTCTAACAAGTAACATTTCTAGCGGAGCGAAATTTAATCTTAGTAAGAATAGTAAGTTTAAAGTGTTTAGAATTTAAATCAGATCTAGAATCTAGATATAGATATAGATCTAGAATAATCTAGATCTAGAAGATTTTACTCTAAATTTTATATCTAGATCTAGATCTCTAGATCTAGCTACTCTAGTCACTAGAACTAGATCTTCTAGTAGAAGTAGTGACAGTCACTGACAAAACTCTAGATCTAGATTCTAGTCCAAGTGTTAGTGTAGTGTAGATATAGATCTAGATCTAACTGTTTGTAGCTTACTACGAGATCTAGATCTAGCTACTTTCTAGTCAGATCTAGATACTAGATTAGACCTAGTAGTAGCTACACTAGCTAGATTCTACATCTAACTAATTCTAAGTCTAGTCTAGATCTAGAAAAAAATCTAGAATCTAGCTAGAATCTAGTAATTTTAGAGCTAACTAGAGATCTAGATCTAGAGTGATTCTAGAGTAGTCTGATAATAAGTGATAATTTAGTTACTTAGGTCTAGCTACTCAGCTAGATCTAAAATCTAATCAATTCTACATTCTAGTCAAATATGATTAATAGTGATTAGTACTTAGGCCTACTTACTTAGTACTAGGCCTAGATCTAGATCTATACTAAGTAATCTAGATCTAGTACTAGACGACCCAATCTAGATTAGTAGTAATTACTACTAGATCTAGATCTAATAGTACTAATCTAGATATTTAGTAGTGTTTCTTCCAGATTTTTTTCTCGGGGGGAGGGGGCACTTGAAATTTTCATATAGTCTAGCTAGATTAGTCTAAGATTAGATATAGAATTAGAACAAAGACATTATTTATAAGCCAAGGCTATTCCCAAGTATATAGGCCTGACCTATATATTGAATATCTTTTTTCTGGATGAATTTTTTATTCAAGCTACGCATTTTGGGCCGAACTTTGTCCTCTTATTTTTTTTTATTAATGTATAGGAAAATGAGTAACATAGCGACCAAACACTTTTTTAAATGTTTAAATCCCATCGAAGGTCTTTACCTCAGATGGTCATGCTACATTTGTAATCAAATAATTATAATTTAACATATTATTAATAAACTAGTTCGTCATGTAATGTAAATTCTTACTGGTATGCCATTATCAAATGGCATTGACCCACATCACTGCCGATGCCATTTCTGATCAGGAAGAGTCGAAAACTCCATAAGACCACTATTTCCATTCATCAATTCAGCTAAAGGTTTGGCATAACTTAATTGCAAGATTTATGCACTTAATATTTAATTTAATACTGAAATTTACTTCTCAATGCTACAGCTCAGTACAATGCGGTTTCGACTAATATTTGCTATCATCATTACTTTTTTGTCGTTAAGTCACTTTTAGTATCATGTAATGTAAAATGGTAGATACTTCTTTCATTGAATGATAATTATATAAAAGATAAAATACAACTGGTGTTTGTATCAAATACATTTAATTTTATTCATGTGGCTAGAATTAACATTCATCGAAAAAGCTGGACGCAACATGGATCGTAAGATAGATGGCCTATGTAGTAGGAAATTTTTAAAATATTAATTTTCTGTATGTGTCTATAACTTATTTGATTATTAGGTCTATAATTATAAACTCATATGTTGCCTACATTTGTTTTTATATTAGTCATCAAAATTGTAGTCATAGGTACGCAAGAGAACTATTAGGCCTATAGAAAATGATTGAACTATCTTTTGTTTAAATTATTTAAAAATGAGGCCAAACTTATGTTCAAATTAACTGCAGTGGGATTAAACATGTAGTCCTAAATACTAAATAGTATCTAGATCTAGATTCAGGTCTACAAGTACTTGTTCGGGAACATATTTAACTTGAACGGGAATTCCCGAAATTATTTGTATTGTCCTATTTTCAGTTTATTGTGGCTTACTCAAACCACTATTTTGTAAAAAAAAAATTAAAAAAATAACTAATGCGCAAAAGATTTCTCCTAAACTTTCTATGACAATTATTCCATAAGTTTGTTCAAAGAAACCTTATAATGGATTATAATTGTAAATATTATCGGATCGTGTGGGATACATATTTGAACTTGAACGGGAATTCCCAATATGCATGTTTTCAGTTTATTATTGCCTACTTAAACTTAAAGACATGCCTTGTTAAAAGGGAGAGGTGTTCAGCACTATGCCACGCTGCCTTTGTTTCCCTAACGTGAGTTAGGTATCCAGCAGAGCTGGGTGGACTCAGGGACATTCTTCTGACTTGAACCCGGATTCGAACTCGAGACGCCGTCCCTCCTACTAATAGGATTTAATGTAACCGAAACAAAAGTTAATAAAATGTTAAGTCCTCATTTTTTCCGATGATGATTTAACTTTTAACACTCACTCTTTCCATTTGCAGATTTATTATTATAGAAATAGAAAAATATCCGAGGAAGCACATTTGATTGTAGTTGATGTTAATTTGAATGATTTGATCATCCGTTTACAAAATGACTGGTCGAATCGTTAAAGATGTATTTAACAAAGCTAAAAGTGGAGAGATATTGAGATTAGAGAACAGTGATATTAACCTCCAAAACATGCATGGCGTTTCAGCACTGATGATGTCTGTTATGGAAAATGACATACTGGCTTTAAAAACTTTGATATCTGCAGGCGCTGATGTTAATTTAACCAAAACTAAGGTCAGATATACCACAGCACTGAGCATAGCAGTGGAAATGGGGAGAGTCGAATGTGTAAAGGAACTGATCAGGGCAGGAGCTTTCTTAACGTGTGAGCGAGGGTTGGAGGCTTTAATGATGGCGAGGGATTACAACTTCTTAGATGCTGTGATTCAAGGAGAGAAAGTATCTTCTACAAAGTCTTATTATGATCATAAAAACGCATTCGATACAGCTTATAACCATGAATGCTTTGATTTGCTTGTCGATTTGATTAACTGTGGCATTACAAAAAAAATATCATCATTAAAATTTGAAGACTTTGCCAGGGCAGAGATATTCAACGCACTGATGATCTCACCTAACATTAACATTAATGAACGCTATTGGGAGGGACAAACTATGTTAATGAAAGCTGTTCAAACTGATAAAATGCATATTGTACAATTTCTTCTAGAAAAAGGAGTTAACATTTATGAAGTAGACTGGAGAGGAAATACAGCTCTTCATTTTGCCTACGGTGGAAAGTCTGAAATTATTTCTCTACTTCTGGCAGCTGGAGCTAAAGTTGATGTCAAAAACTCAGAAAATCAAACACCACTTCATGTTGCAGCTAATAAATCAGACAAAGAAATGATAAATCTTCTCATAGAGGCAAAAGCAGATATAAATTGTACAGATAATCGTGGCCAAACACCGCTTGCAATTTGTGTTGAAAACTCAGATATGAAAACAGCAAAATGTTTACTTCGACATGGGGCAGATGTCAATAAAGGTAATAACCACGGGGCTACTCCCCTTATCTGGGCCGTTACAAAACAACATGAGAAGTTCGTAGATATCCTAATTCTTCACAAAGCAGACGTGAATTATAAACAAACCACAGCGTTAATTTATGCTGTATTGAAAGTTAACAAAAATATAGTGTCAAAACTGGTTCAGGCTGGTGCTGATGTTAACATGAAGACTGCACGGTGTTATCGAGAGAGATATCGCATTCAATATGATCTTTTGGAAGAGATGAAAAACACTTTGCTGGATACTTCTGAGCATAACCTCACACCTTTACACATAGCAGTTCAAACTTTTCCTCAATATGAAGAAAAGAAATCAGTTGAGGTAGTCAATGTACTGTTGAAAGGAGGGGCAAATGTTAATGCAGTTGATGAGGATGATAGGATTCCTCTACACATCGCATCAATCTTTGGTGATTTGGAGATCGTAAAATCTTTAATCAAGGCTGGATCAAACATAAACGCCGTGGACAAATTCGGAAACACCCCACTTTTCTTTTCGTTACTTTATAATCATAGAGAGTTAGCAAAATATTTGATAAAATCCGGAGCGGATGTAAACTTGATGAGTGAATCTCAATGCTCGCCTTTATATGTTGCTGTGTTTTACAAAAATACTGAGCTTGTTCGAATGCTGATTAAACATCGCGTTCTTCCAGATAAAGGCAGAAAATCTGAGCTATTGAAGGCTCTAGAATATAATGATTTAATTGTGTCAATACTTTTAGTGAAAAATGGCGCTAATGTTAACGTTAAAGACGATACTCAGACACCTGCATTGATAAAAGTTTTAAAACTTGTAAAATTTAGCAAAACGTTACGATCACGATACATAGGCTTTCAGAGAAGTGAGCAATATTTGTTTACACTGGGACGTAAACGTGTGTATGGTCCAGATCCTGATGAACCATCGGTGCCCACAAAAGTGTTTGTTTCCAATAAACAAAGTATAAAAACAAAAGCTCTAATTGAGTCCATGCTTCAGCACGGTGCCAACCTTTCTTTAGCAGACGTTGAAGGCAACACTTGTCTGCATGAAGCTGCTCGACATTGCAGTAAAGAGATATTGGAGCTACTGTTACATCACAAGGCGGAAGTAAATCAACAGAATGTAAATGGTGAAACCCCACTAATGATAGCTTGTGTGAGCGGCAATGTTGAGGCTGCAGAGGTCTTACTTAAGGCAGGGGCTAACGTGTTTTTGGTTGACAAAAATAAAAACACGGCATTACACCATTGTGCACAGTATGCAATTGATTTGCTTCCCTTAGTTGAAAAGCTCGTCTTACATAGTAACCAACATAATAATGACTTCAGGCAAGAAAATACCTTGGTAAGTAATGCCAACCGAACTGTTAATGCACAGGAAAACGATTTGATTGATACATTACAAACCACTGAAACAAATTCTAAAAGTGAAATTTTTGTCAACATGACAAATGATAACAAAGAAAGCGCTATTCACAAATTTTGCACATTAGGGCGTCTCAACGTTGTCAAGTTTTTGATAAGTCAAAAGTGCAATCTAGACTCTACTACTAGCTCAGGGCAAACACCTCTAATGATTGCATCAAAAAATCAGTTCCTACCTGTTGTAAAATGTCTGTTTGAAAACAAAGCGAGCGTAAATATACAAGACAAGGATGGTGAATCAGCACTACATGCTGCAGTGAAATGTTGTAATTTCGAAATTGTATCATTCTTAGTAGAGAACGGAGCTAATGTCACCGAATCAAATAATGCCGGGCAAACGCCACTTTTCTATGCGGGAAGTTTGAAAACTATTAAGTATTTGATTGAAAAGGGAGATGAAATAAACCGGATAGACAAAAGTGGGGAAACGGCTTTACACTTCAAATCTAAATCTTATAATCCTTCAGCTGTTGATGCATTATTAGAATTAGGAGCAAATCCAGATATCACTACAGATGAAGGCATCACGGCTCTAATGTTCGCTGCCAGTGTGGGCTACATTTCTGTCGTGAAAAGTTTAATAGGAAACGGAGCTAATGTTCATGTACGAGATAGTGAGGGGAGAAATGCTTGCATTTACGCTGTAATAGGTGTTAAAAAGAAAAAAGACTGGTATGTTGCAGACTATGGAGATTCTTATAATGATTGTTACGGTGATTACATTGAAATGTTTAGAGAATCTGACGTGGCAGATGATCTCTTTGACATTATGAATGTCCTGGTTACTGCTGGTGCAGATTTAAACATTTTGGATAATGAAAATCGATCTTTAATTGTGTATACTTTATTAAATGTAAAAAAGGAGTCGCAGAAAGAATGCATTCAAAAGTTTTTGAAACTTGGTGTTGATCCTATCCTGCATGAAAATCACCGGTATTTATTAAATGAGTTTATTTTGCCAGAATGCTGGCCTTTTTTTGAAGAAAAACGTGCACGCTTTGGTCTAAAAGATAATTCAAAAATTATTTTTCAATTTCTCCTAATAAACGGAATCACACTGTGTCATTTAGTAAGCAATTACACTCGATTTTCTGAATCAAATTTTACCTGCGCTGCTCGGAACAAAAACTTTGATTTCCTTCGTTTCTTTTTAGCCACGGGCTTTATCTTTACATCTGACTTGAAGAGTTTGCGTAATGACAAATACTTTAAAGACAATGCTGATGATAACTTAGACACCAATGACTCACTACATGCTGAGTTAACTTTGGCCAAAAGAGAACCCTGGCCACTGGTCAAACTAGCTTTTATTGAAGTCTCCACCTTACTTGGGACTGGGCCTATGAGAGAAGAAAAACTAAAACAGACCAAACTCCCACCAAGATTACAGCGAACGTTGATGTTTCAAGAACCAATATCAAGATTACCTGTAGAAGACTGGTCTAAAATACCTCTTTGTTTTGACCCAGTACAGTACGAGACTTTACCATGTCCTAGACCTTTACTCTACTACTGGCCTGTTGGGCATAGGCTCGTCGACTGAGAAACTTGTATTCGTTTACGGACGGAAAGTTTATTACTTTTTTTCGCTTTGTGATTAAACTTATGTTTATAATTTATATAGAGTTTAATTTTACTGAAAATCTTTTGGGTTTTGATGATTTTGATTTACATTTTTTTATATTATTTATTTCGTACTGAACAACACTACATTAACAATTTTAATATTGTAGCGTTTTTTTTTTGGATTTGCGTGTTTTATTAATCATTGAACATGTTTTAAATACATGTACGAGTGTTGGATTATATGTTTTGTTACACGTTTTTGAAATTTAAAATATACTTTCTTTGAAATAATAAATATTTAGTAGATATAGATTACATTTTCGTAAACAGTTTACATTTTAAAATTATTCAAAATGTTGATTTGAAATGTAACATAATATATTGTATATTTACGAAAATGTGATGGTGCATTTTTTTAAGTCAGCTTTCCAATACAAATTTTTAATCGTTTTTTTTTTTTTGCGCTATTCTAAAAGAATAGGAGCTGGTATGAGACGTTGATTATTTTAAAGATATATTGTATATTTATGTACAAACGGTGACGCGAATATCATACATACATTTTTTTTCTTAATTAGCTTTAGTGTGTCCAATACAGGTAGTCTATCTAGTAAATGATTTCTCAATGTAAAGAGTTTCTTTCAGTCATCTCTCCGGGGAGAGGCACTATGACTCTGCCCTCCTACCCCACTCACCGCAGTGCATGTTGATCGCCATACCCCCTTTCCCCGCCACCCTCCCAGAAGACTTACATACTCCACCTCGACGGAAGCTTCCAGTACCACCATCTTGAAGTAAAATGACTAACAGAAACCGTATTAGTAGAAGTAGTGTTTAAATGATGAGAATACCAAGTATAATTAAATGTACTTTATTTGCTTTTTAGTAATCTTTTTTTTTTAACTTTTCGAGCGATTCTGTTTGTTCCTATATTCAGGTGTATGCAATTTGGAATTTTTTGTAATTGAGAATTGCTGGCTCGCTAAATGCTTTTATCATCCTCATATATTTTTGTTTGAAATAAATGCCGCTAATCAATTCAAACCGAAGTCTTCTGCTAATTTTTACACTTTCATATTTCTATTATTTGTTTTTGTATACAATTATTTAAAGTGGTAAAGTGTGATGTATATTAACTCTTAGCCTTGGCGAGGAAGATCAGCCGGTTTATCATATAAATTTTCTCGCATTCTTGTTTAGGAAATGCACCATGACGGATATTCCTCAAAATTTCTGTTGAGTGTTTGGGGAAAAATAAATTATATATATAATTGGCTGTGTTTAATGTGTTGTGAATGTATTGTCGTGTTGTGTTAATTGTAGTGCTATTTGTTAATTGGTGTGCTGTGTGTGAATTGATGTGTTGTGTGTGAATTGTCCAAAAGCGGTCTTCTATTTCCCTAACATTTGGGCGGTCGCCGAAGTGTATTCTACCTCACAATTACGGAGAGTGATTAACGTACACTTTAGGCTTTCATACAGCACGCCCTATGGTGTGATGGGCGGTAGTGAGATATTTCGTCAGACTTTCTTCTGGGACCGCAGCAACGCTTTCATACACAATGCCCTGTGGCGTACTCGGCGATAGTGGAGGTAAACCCGTGTCTCTATAAATATGTTCCAAGAAATATAACGCGAGCACTGTTTACATTTATCTCCGTTTTAGAAAACAAGGTCACACGTCTAAGAATATAAGATTGGTAATGCATTGATAAAACCCTCTTTCTTCTGATCAATGGACGTGTTGGACAGTGCCTGACGAATCGTTGTCGAGCAAAGGCGTATCAACCCTTCCCCCGGGGACAAACTTTCAATTTGCCTTCCCCCTCCCTCGGTTTTTTTTTATATTTATAATCAGTGGCGGAACTAGAAAAAAGGGCCACCCCGCAAAAAAAGAATTCTGCCCCCCCCCCTCCCTCCTACACAAACATTGGATACTCATTTCTGGCCTGATCTGGTTTTGAAAATAAATGTCAATTTTTTCAATTTAAACAAATTATAACATGTCGTGTGTGTGAGTGCATTAGTCTGTTGATTTTTTTTAAATTTTTTTTTTATTTAGAACTAGTTTATTCAATATGTTTGCTGTAATACAGCCGATCCTCTAATTATAGCCGGTCAAAAGAAAAAATATATATATAAAATGTGAAAGCTTTGTGTGTGTAATGGTTTCTCGTGTTGTTTATTTTTATGTTTTTTATATTTATATTATTTGTTTTAAGTATATTTCCTTTTTATGCTATGTCAATCTTATGTTTGTATTTTTACTTTCTCATGTATACGAAGTAGCCTATAGAGAAAGTTTTGTAATCGTGCAAAAAAAAAATAGAGATTTTTACAATTCTCGACGTTTTACGCCTCACTGATGCGGAAAAACATAATTTTGCAATCTTGTCCGTATGTCTGTGTGTCTGTCTGTGTGTGTGTCTCTCTGTCTGTGTGTAAACACGATAACTTGAGTACCATTACAGCTAGGTTGATGAAATTTCATATATAAGTATTTTATTAAAATCGTAGATCCTGATCAACTTTTGAGCGATTTCCAATAACCGGAAGTGGTACTTTTTCTACTTTGAATTTTTCAAAAGCCTATTATTTGAGTACTATTTCAGATAGATAAATGAAATTTCACATGTCAGTAAAAGATCTAATTCTCTACCTTCTGTCAAATTTTGAGTAATTTCCGTTGACCGGAAGTACTAATTTACGCTATTTCCGATTTCTCAAAAACGCTTGTAAATTTATAAAGTACTAATAATATTGCGCTCTATTATGCAAATTTTTTTTTGGCGTTCGCTTGGTGCGCAATTCTTTTTTCTATGAGATTCTATTCTATTTTTAAAAGTTTAAGTAATTAAAAATCATGTATATATTCCAAGTTATATAAGAAAATTCGAAAAAGTTTAGGGGAGATCACTCCCGGTTTATTTTTAAATAATAATTAAGAGAAGTAATTGCTTTTAAATTTGTTTAGTACAAATATATTAAAAGGAGCTTATGAGCACCCCTATTTAACTATTTAAAAAGGGGAAATAAGCCATGGAAGCTCAGGCATATATTTTTCTTTAAGCAACAGCATGTGTTAGCTACTACATAACATCACAACTGTAGTAGATCTGTTAGTTATTTACAAAAGCTTTTACCGTCAAGTAAAAAATGCAAGAAATTTTTTTTTAACTATACAAAAATTTTATGGTCGGCTATGGGCCACTAAATGGGGTAGCCCCCCCCCCCTCCCCCCGCACTGTAGTTCCGCCCCTGTTTATAATGCTAAACTGCAGCTAAAATGAGCTTTTAATTTTTCTTCCAACTCATTTTGGCGCCCCCTAGGGTCGAGCCCGGAGACATATTTAACCCTTAACACTTACTAGACTCTGGTTAGCAATATGGTGTAGAAATGAAAGAACTAGTTTATTTAATTCTTTAAATATTTATGTTAATTTAATATAATAAGATTTCGCATCTGCATTTTACTGACAAACCCTATTTTTTTTAAAGAAAGTGTTGTTTTTTTTCAGAGAATTTAATTGCTATTATTTTTTTTATTGCAAAAAAAAACGTTTTAATTACAAGCTTTTATGTAATAAAATAATGCACGTATTTATACTTCTTTTATATTTTATCTTCTGTAGGCCTGTATTATTCTTTTTCCCGTGTTAAGTAGCTGCAATCAGTGAGTAAGGGGTATAACTCGGAATGATTTCTTCCATTAAATTTTAAGAGTTCTCTTTCTTAATCGAAATTTTGCTTGATAAGTCGTCTAACATTTCTAGCGGAGCGAAATTTAATCTTAGTAAGAATAGTAAGTTTAAAGTGTTCAGAATTTAAATCAGATCTAGATCTAGACTCTAGACTAGATCTAGATCTAGAATCTAGATCTAGAAGATTTTACTCTAAATTTTAGATCTAGACATCTAATTCTAGATCTAGATCTAGGAGAATCTAGATTCTAGATCTATTCTAGATCTAGAAATCTAGATCTAGATCTAGACTAGAAATCTATCTAGTATCTAGACTCTAGATCTGGTAGATCTAGATCTAGCTACTCTAGTCACTAGTCAAAACTCTTGATTCTAGTGACAAAATTCTAGATCTAGATTCTAGATCTAATCTAGATTCTAGTCCAAGTGTCGTGTAGATCTAGAAGATCTAAATCTAACTGTTTGTAGCTTACTTACTACTAGTTACTAGATAGATCTAGTCTAGATCTAGATCTAGATTCTAGATATAGTGATATAGCTACTTAGGCTACTAGACTCTACTAGATCTAGATCTAATACTATTACTAGTCAGATCTAGATCTAGACTAGTAGCTACACTAGCTAGATTCTAGATCTAGATTTCTAGCTACTTCAAAGTCTAGATCTAGCTAGTAATTCTAGAGCTAACTACTAAACTAGAGTAGTCTGATAATAAGTGATAATTTAGTTACTTACTTACTACTTAGGGTACTTACTAAGTAGCCTAAGTAAGTCACTAAATTGATTAGATTTTAGATCTAGCTGAGTAGCTAGACCTAAGTAGCTAGTACTTAGGTCTAGCTACTCAGCTAGATCTAAAATCTAATCAATACTTAGATCTACATTCTAGTCAAGTGTGATTACTAGTAATTAGTACTAGATCTAGCCAATCTAGGCCTAGATCTAGATCTATACTAAATAATCTAGATCTAGCACTAGATCTAGATAGATAATGTACTTGAATTTAGACTAAATATAAGACCCAATCTAGAATCTAGATTAGTAGTAATTAAATTACTACTAATAGTACTAATCTAGATATTTAAAATAAATTAATATTTAGTAGGCCTACAGTGTTTATTCCAGATTTGTTTCTCGGGAGGGAGGGGGCAATTGAAATTTTCATATAGCTAGATTAGTCTAAGATTAGATATAGAATTAGAACAAAGACATTATTTATAAGCCAAGGCTATTCCCAAGTATATAGGCCTGGCCTATGTATTTGAATATCTTTTTT